GCTGCTCGGACGGGCGGGCGGGCGCCATGAAGCGCTCCCTGCTGCGGATCTGCCAGTCGCGGGAGAAGGCGGCCGCCTCCAGCTCCTACCAGGGCGTCGTCTGCGAGGCGGACGCCGCCTCCGTGGCCTCGCAGGATGTCTTCAAGGTGCGTGCGGAGGGGCGCGGAGGAGGTGGGGGTCCCGAGGGCAGGGCGGTGGGGCTGAGTCTGAGGGGACAGCCCAGCTGCCTGAGGCACCGAGGCCAGCGCGGGACAAGATGGTGCCCGAGGCTGGGGCTCATGTGAGAGCGCTGGGGCAAGGAGGGGTGGAGGTGGCGGTGGGCAAGGGTGAGGTGGGGGCTCTGGAGGCAACTGTGCGGGCTTGGCAGTGGTTACGTCCCAGAGACCCTTTCCTCCGGGAAGCGCTTTCCCCTCCCTCATCCGTGCTGTGAGGGAAGAGCGACGAGGGGTGGCAGGCAGGTTGGGAAGCACCACGGCCATGAGGCGTGAAGGCACAGGAGACTCTGACGTTGTGTGGCCAAGTCTGGACCGGGGTGAGCGGGAACACGTGAAGGGAGTGGGTGAAGGGGATGTGGAGTGGCAGGGGTGCGTGGTGGGCGGCAGGGGGCTGCCACGGGGCTCCCATTCTCCCTGGGCACAGCTCCTCAGAAAGGGTCCCACTCATCGAGGGAGGTCCAGAGGTCATGGTGGGAATGAGTAGACCATCTAGCAAAAATGTCCCAAAAGGAGAGTTTAGAAGCACTGGAACTGTTATGAAGGGAAAGGGAGCCAGCGGCACAACCTACAAATGCAAAATTGCTGCCAGGAAGGGTATAACCTCTTCCCTTTCCCATACAGAGTAGGACGAGAAGTGATGTATTTATATTGCTGCTAGGGAGACCTAGACCAGACTCTAGGGAAGCCTTTTTTAATGGTAAGAATAATTCAGGAGAGGAAGAGGTTGCTTATGGGACAAATGACTTGGTTAACTTTGGAAATTTTTAAAAGCAGGCTAAACAAATTTGATGAAGTATGTGTATGGGTTTAAAGACCATTTCAGATCATTTCCAGACTTGTTTTCTGTGTGCTAGCTGTAGTCCTGAGCAACACCTCTTCAGCATTACACAGGTAGTCACTTGGGTGGGTGATTTGCCACTACAGACAGAGCTGTTCAAGCAAAGTGCAAAGGAGCTGCTGTTGTTTGAAATAGCTTGCTTTGCTGTTTTGAACCAACTGAAGTACTGAGAACATCTAACTGATTTCTTCCTTTCCTATTTCATTAATGACACACTGCAGCATTGGCTGAAAAATCTTATTTTTGTTGATAGAAATTACCATCGTGCCACATTTTGGCCAAATTTTGTCTTACGTTGACAAAATATTCCAATGTAAAGAGTGGCAAAATGGGGTCTAAATCAACGGAAGGATTTGAAATTCGTTACAATTAAAATTAAGTTAGAATATTAGAAGGAATAGAAGATACTGGGCTCTTTAATAAGGTTTTCTTAAATAGCTTTTTGATGTGTGTAAAACGTATAGATATTTGTGTATATAATTGACCTCTTATTTTTGTGACAGTTGAGTCATCTTAAATACCCTTTCCACAATGATATCACCTGTTTTCTATTAGCTTTTTCTAACTGCACTTTTGAAGCAGATGCTATCCCTGTATTTGGCCCCAGTCTTCTAAATCTTTAAACACATTTGTAATGTTATTCGCATGAGTAACCTCACCGAGGTCAATGGGACTATTAAACTGAAGGAAGTTAAAACACGTGCTTAAGTGTATGAATGGGCTGCCCTGTAATGTGTATGTGCTTAATGACAGCAAAAATTGTGGAGTCTTTGTGGCTCAGGGGATCCTGGAGAGCAAAATTTTCCTTTTGCAGCTGAGGAGGGAACGGTGATTTCAGGGGATATCCTTTTTTTTACCCTTTGCTTGCTTACACAGCTTTAGGAAGGTTTTCATTACTTTTGATATTAATTTTTCTTCTTTTTTCCTCCCAATTATGTTGAATCGTTTTTATTCCCTTTTATTTTTTTAATAACTTGTTTTTAAAATCCTGCTTATTCTACTACAATCTTTTTTTTTCTACCACTTTTCTTCATATACAAGTATGTGTTTTGAAACACTCTAACAAAAATATTTGGAGAACATCATAAAGTAAGAATCAGCAGGGTTTCCACAGTGGGCTTTAGTTGCAAAGCACAGTACCAGGGACGTATCAAGGTGTCAGGGGGCTGAGCTGTCAGAGAGGGTTTTATTGTATTATGCTGTGAAAATGCTGGGTTGTTTCAGACTGAGATAGTAGCCCTTGAGATCTCTTAGGATACCGCTAAGATTAAAGAATTTATTGGTTGCTCTGACATAAAGATCATCACAGAAACCCAAGGGCTGAACTTGAAAGCCCAGGACATAATACCAGTCTCTGTAGAAAGATCTAGAAAAGAGTTTATCAAGATTATTAATTTTTCCCCTCTGCTGAATTCATTTGATGTGGCCACACCTGGAGAGAGTATAAAACAGTAAGTGACGAATTTCCTTGTTTGAGATTTTCCATGGTGGAGGGAAGATCTTGAGCTCACTACAGAAGACAAAATAATGTATTCAAGATAATTTCCATTTTTGTTAATTTTGCACTGTTTCTCATCTGGGTCTCATCTGATTTTGCAATCAATCAAATCAATCAGAGTTTCACTGTTGACTCAGTCTGATCAGGATTTATGTACTTCTGTATGAAACTAAACAGTTGGGAGAGAATTATTGAGTGGTAACATGCCCACAGTAGCACGTTATAGCACTGATAACATCTTGCCTATTAGGAGAATGCGAAAATGAGAAAATTTGTATCCAAAATAGGTGATTTCAGATGGAAGTGCCTGTAGGCTACGGAGCTTCATTAAGAAGAATCGTTCTGGGCTTACCAAGGTGGATGAATTAAATGCCACCCCACTGCATCACGCTGCAGAAGGAGGTCAAATAGAATTAATGCAGTTGATCATAGACGATTCTTCCTGTGAAGGTAACACCCGTTTTATGAACCACATTATTTAACAGAATAAAAAAGTTCAATAATCAAAGTGTTTGTTACCCAACTGAAGCAGAGCTGGTATGTGTTATGTGTGTTTATAGATTTAAATATAGTTCAAACTGTCTGTGACAGTTTGCATTCTCTTGGGTGTGATTTGGGTCGCCCTTGTTGTGTTAGGACGGTTTTCTCTCTAATGCAGTGAATCAATATATCTTATTTTGTTTGGGAGTCAGATTTACAGTCTTCAGATATGAAAAAGAAAACTACAGTGAAGTACAGTAGGCCTGACTTTTTCTCTTCCTTATTTATGTTATGTGTCTGTTGTTACATTTATAGTACTGGAAATGTAGAAGAGCCTTAATTTGGTTTCTTGTCATTCAACTTGTTATCACAACTTGTTTACTTAAGAGTGGGGAAGAATAAACATTTTGTGAGATAGGCCATCGAAGAAATTTAGGGAAGATGTGGTAAGTAGAAGTACCTGGGGCCTTGAATGATAGGAAAGCACTCTGCGTAAAAGGTGTGTTTAGAAGTTATTAATAAGCATTGTGAACTACATAGGACTCCACTGGTGGACTGTGGGCTACTGAGCAAACAGACAAAGGCCCTGAAAAGGTCATTTTTTCACCTAATGATGGCCAATCTAATTTTAGATTATTCTGGCTGAAATAGATTCTGTTTCTTTTCAGTATATAAATTTTTTTTAGAATATTTGTTGAAGTTTATTTGCAATTTTGAAGCTCAAAATATGTGTAGAGTAGACCATTTTTATAACTGGCATGAATTGATTTACTTCTCTCTTCTTAAGTGAATCAGGATATATATGGTCTTTAATCTTAGAATTTGCAGGCATTTATTTATTACCTCTTATTTTACTTATTCACACTCACATGTTCTGTGCAGCCTCTAAAGCAAGAGCTGCAAAGTCAAATAAGATAGGAAAGAGAAGAGACAAGGAAGGCAGGAAATCACGTAACTCTTGGGGCGAAGAAAAAATGTGTATAAAAATGGGCAAGAAATAGACAAGTGTTTCACCCCTCCCATCTCTCTAACTAATACCGTGTACTCAGCACAATGTTTAATCAATTTAACACTATGCACTTCATGACATACAATCTTTCTCTTTTTCTCTTCAAAGAAATGCAGTAGCAATGGAGACCTAAGCCTCCATTGAAGACACTTCTTTTTTTTTTTCAGTGCAGTCAGAAAATTTGATGGGTTTGCTTTGGTTTTGGTTTTGTTTTGTTTTCTCTCCTTTGACCTAGTATTAAATGTGATGGATTCTTCTGGAAATACCCCACTGCACTGGGCTACAAAGAAAAACCAGGTTGAAAGTGTTAGTTTGCTTCTCAGCAGAGGAGCCAATCCAAACATTCTCAACTCCAATATGATGGCACCTTTGCATATGGCTGTGCAGTCCCTGCATAATGAAATAGTTAAGGTAAGTCTAAAGTCCACAGAAATATACAGTCTTGATAAGTAGCTCAACAGCAGCTGCATGCAGAACACCGAGACCTTGTTTATATGTGCTATATCTCCTCATGTGCTTTGTTTAGCAAGCAAGATGTGTAACACATGATGCTTATAGAAACATTTGTGTCTTCTTAGCACAGCAAGTAAAAAGTAACTTACTAATATTTGAGCTATGATAGTAATTGTTATGCTTCATAGAGAATTCCTTTAAATTTTCCAAACACAAGGAATTTTCTTTAAAAGGTTCTTTTTAAGACTAAAATTTCATGTAGACATGTGTTATTTCAAATCTTTATGTTCTGATTATTTTTATTTTAACAATTTTATAGAGTATAATAGATATACAGATATATCTACTAGATAAGTATATACTAGGTAGATATATATATACTAGAAATCTACTATATATCCCCTAGATATATACAATTGATAGGGTATAATAGAGTATAGAAGTATAAAATTTTTCTTGAAACTCGTGTATTCTTTTTTGTGAAAACCAGATTAAAATCAGTCAGAAAACACAGTTCTTAAAACCAACATTGTAATACTCATTTGAATAATAGCAGAACTAAAGCGGCAATTAAAAATCATAAAAATATATTGTGAAGAAATTACTAAGGTGTCCATTTTGAACCTTGTAAAATAGCAACAGCATTGAGATTTTAAGCAGCATAATTTTTTCATCATTTGTTCAAGTGCAATGAGAATGCTTTCACTCCGTATGTAACATTTGGATAGAATTTTAGAATTTGTAAAGTTCTTAAATTTACTAGGTGAATACTGAATACAACCTTAACACCACATCACTTGCTTTACAGTTATCTCTTTTTCTAGTTCATCCAAATAAAAGAAGTAAAAATATATTCCTGTATTCAAGACTTAACATCCTTAACAGATTTTTAGTGACAAAATATTTCACTGTCCTCACATCTTTTACAAAATATGTATTTATTATGGATTAAGAACAAAAAATTTGAAATACAATGACATTTTTAAAATGGGCTTTGTAGCAAGTTCTGGGTTTAGGTTATTTTACAGCTCTGCTCTTGACCAAATGTGTGCTGTCATTTTTCCCCCACTGTGTTGTTTATTCAAGCTAATTGCCCTTTGCTTTCTATTGTCAAATCACCTGAGAGTAATTAAAATGTGCCACTTCCTCCAGTACAGAAAAAATAACTAAAATTACTGAAAGACAATTAAATAAATAAGGAGGTAGAGGAATAAATATGTAGTGCAGTATGGTCATTATCATTTTCAGATCCTTTGCTTCTCAAAAATGCTGGAAGCAGTCATAGAGGTACTTGGTGATACTGAGAGCTCAGCATTAGTTGCTAACATAGGGGGGGAAGCAGGAATTCAGGACCAGAAGGATCCCTGTTTTCATCAAGTCCCATCTCCCTTGATCTTATATACCTGTCCAATAGATGCATAATCGAGCAGCATCTACAACATTGCAGCTTTCCGGGGAATACAGAGTATTACAAGACATTATAAGAAACTTCAGTTGAAAATCCCCATCTGCGATTTGCAACAGAAAAGATTTTCTCCCAGTATTGAGGAATTTCTTAATTAAAACTGTAAGATAGTCTGTGGCTATGTGCAGTGTTTATCCTAGTTATCTAGCTGTCTGCTGTAAATAATTTTACTTTTCTTTGCCTGTTCTCACCTGCATTTTTCACCTGCATATTTTTACATTCTTCCTCATTGTGTCCCTTGTCTGCCTATATATCATGGGCTGTTGGCTTGCAAAAGGAGCAAGTCATAAGAGTGGTATGGGTGGTAAACAACAAATGTAACAGAGTAGGCCTGTGTTGTTGTATTTGACTTACGGTTGACTGAATGTTTTCTTAAATATTTAGATTTTAGTCCAACATAGCAGTACAGATGTTAACTTGGAAGGTGAAGCAGGGAACACGCCTATAATTGTAGCATGTTACAAGGATAATCCTGAAGCACTGACACTGCTGGTAGGTATAATTATCTATCATCTTTTAATGTCATTCTGTTTACCTAGATGCAGTGTTATCCTGTTCCTGTGTTCTGCCTTTGTTCAATGGAGGAAGGTTAATCATAGATCTAGTATTCAAATTCCTTTACATAGGACACTAACAAACTTTATTCTTTTAAGACCATCTAGAAACATATCTGAGTGGCAAATGGAAAAAAACTTAAACTAATATTGAAGGTCAACAGAACACAAAATGAGACATGTGTATGTATAGATGTATGAATATAACGTGCAAAAGATGTTTGTATATAAACTTCACAATGCATATACAACATAAAAAAAGAGGCAGCTATCTAGGAGACTATACCTGTAATGGTACGTTCATTAGTCAGAATTTTTTGTATGTCATTAAGCTATATCCAGGCATTATTTTTCAGATTGAAAATGGAGGGAAAATATGTAAACCAAACAAAACGGGATGTATGCCTATCCATGCAGCTGCATTTTCAGGTGCAAAAACATGTATGGAAATTCTTTTAAAAAAAGGTAAATGCATTGTTCCCAAGCAGTCAGTAAGATTTATTATTTACAGTAGCATTACCAATTTACTGCTTTAATTCTCAAAGAGCTGTGCAAACAAGCACTTACAACTGTGATTGAACTTACAAGTTAATGCAATTATTCCTGTGGGCAATTCATGCTAATAACTTTTGTAGGGTTGCAGCAGCAGCTTAACTGCTTTCCTAAATGTGTGCCCATCCATTGTTTAATGATAGATGTGAAAGGTTCATATTTTGAGGGGGAGAATGTTATTCCACAGTTAATATACTTGTTTTGAAAGCCTTGATAGCTTCTGTTATCTTTCTCGCTTAAAAAGTTTCCATTTATTTTCATTTCTCAGGTGAAGAACTGGGTCACTCTGCTAAAACCCACATCAATTTTACCAATAATGGAAAGTGCAGTCCACTTCATTTGGCAGTTCAAAGTGGGGACCTTGAAATGATTAAAATGTGCATTGAATTTGGAGCCCAAATAGACCTAAAACAGGTAAAACATCGAATGGAGTGAAATATGATTTTGATAAAACCTAGATATCTCTAAATCTCTAAGTGGTATGAAAAAAAGAGGAGTAGATAATCATTGCTCATTGTCTCTTCCAGTGCAAAACCTAGGGAGCAGCAAATGAAAACAAGTCTCTAGTTCGAATCAGGCAAAATGGCAGGTTTCTTCACACAAGTTATGTAGGATGTTGTGGCTATGGATTCAAAATGCATTTGGGCAGATCCATAAAAGAAAAATCAGCCCTCAACTACTAAATACAGTGATATCCCCCCTGGCTCAGGGAGTCCTTGAGTCGTAAACAGATGGATTCTGGGAGAGCACTCCGGAGAATGGTACAGACTTCTTCACGAACTCTTTACTCTGCACCTACCACCGTCTGTTCTCTGCAATGGGATCTTCGATCTGATCCTTTCTCATCATTCTTGTTTATCCTCAGCCTTGCCCCAGCCTTTACAGTATCTTCTTTGTAAGCAAGCACAAATTTGTGTGATACTACTGCTTCTACCATGATACTGTTGGTGTAAGGGCCTGTGCCCAGCTTCATGATGAAGTAACATTTCTGAAGGCATCTATCATTAATCAAGTTGTTTGCAAGGCTCAGATAACTCATGAGAGCAAAGATAAACATGGTTTAGCCTTCTTTCATTGTTTTGATTCTTTGAACATGCAATTTTTGAGTGAGATGATTTATGCTGCTAATTTTGTGATAGGTAAGACTTTTGACAATGCTTATGGCATTGTGGAAAAGCCCATTCCAATGCATTCACTGAAATGTTCCTATTCTAAAAAGGAGGAAGTCAAAACTCTCAGTCATGTATCAAAGCTAATTTGTCCCATCTACTTAAATGAAATCCTATTTTGGCAAATCTTGTTCTAAACTTTTATTTATTGCTTAATAATTGTATGACTGTCTAGCTTATAATAGTTTAATAACATATTAGATCAAGTTATTTTTAACCTGTGGAAAACTTTATTTAAGAACGACACCTAAGGAAGATTCCATTTAAGGAAGTAAGAAATATTTTTAAATAATGCATTTTCTGCGTTATATAGGCACATCTGTTTGCTTCTTCATTTGCGCTGGTCTGCTTATGGTTTTCTGTAGTTTCCCTTTGCTTCATCTCTTGGATTAAAGGGTGCTGTGTACGTCTGTTTATTAATTCAACCACAAAAGATTGTTAAGAGTGTAATTATCTCCTATCTTAGGGTTTTGGCATAGACTAATAAGAAGCTTTGTAGCAATCCTTTAAAACAATCTCTTTAGTACTTTCTGGTCTTTAGGATCTCTTTAGAGTTCCACTACTTCAGTTAAAGACTAAAGTTTCATTACTTGCACAGAAATTTAGGCATTTAGGAATTACAAATCCTGGGCTAGATCACTAGTGTTTTTAATAGGTTGGAGTTTAAATGTTGTTGGGGTTTAAATATTTAAATGGGTTTTTATTTTCCCATTTAAAGAATGAAAAATGCACAGCACTTCATTTTGCTGCCACTCAAGGAGCAACTGAGATTGTAAAGTTAATGATGTCATCCTATGCTGGTGAGGAATCCATTATTGATGCTGTAGATGGGAACAAGGAAACATTGCTTCACAGGTAGGAGGCTGCTCTGCCAGACTTCACTATGTATTGTGAACCATGATATTCTTAGTTGTACTCAGCATCCAATTATACTTAATATAGTACATTTTGGAACACCCTTTCACATGGGTTGGAACTTTTCCATGGGATGGGGGATGGTTTTAGTACACTATGAAAGAGTCAGTAATTTGGTCAGAATGTTAGAGATTTTGGTGCTGATATCAAAATCAAAACTGTTCCAGTTACCTTAGAACCATGTCAAGGAATGGTCACTAACAATTTGTATTGAAAATTTACTCCAGTGAAGTAGTAGGTGAATGAGTTTATAGAACTGTTAACAGCTTCTGAGGTTGTGGAACAAATACCCTCATCTCCAGAAAATTAATTAAAAATATTATAAACACTTAAAAAAAAATCTTTTTTTTTCCCCTAAAAAAATTGTCTTATACCTAATCAGCTACAAGCAGCTGTTGGTACACTTTCCTATGACTACAAAGTTGCAGATGGCCTTTGTGTATCTAATAATCCTCTAGACTTCTAGTTTTTCAGTCCATTTGAAAACAGAGCACTAGACTGGAGAAATTTCCTCAATCTTCTGTAGCAGAAAGATGCTTAGTTAAATGTGCTGGCTACCAGATCTGTGGAAGATAGTATATTTCCTCATCTATACATTTTTGCAAGAAAGATATGTCTCACTGCATTTAAGTATAATAATTTTGCAGTGTTATTCTACAAGGAATTTTACAATATGAAATAATTGGTAGAAAGTCACAGACAATAGAGATGATTGTTCTTTGGACACAGTATAAAGTGGAATGATTCAAAGATAATTGAAGTAATTAAAAGGGGAGTGTGTCGTAAAGTTAAGAAAAGGTTTGGGTACACTTGGAAATGCTACCACAATAGAACGCTATTGAAGACAAAGTGATGACAGAATGCCAAAGAAAATTGTGCAGACACAACATACAACTAAATAGATAACTGGCTGTCACAACCATGAAAATTATTGTCCTTGGAAAAAGCTTGGAAAAAGAATGACACTTTTTTATCTCTGTGTCTGTGAAACAGGAAAAAAAATATTGTCAAGAATCATCAGAAAGGTAGACAATCACCCAAATCTCTCAGAATATATATAAACTGAATAGGAACGTTAACGTGTTGAGAAGTGAAGGAGCAGTGAAGCATAGGCAGAACTTGATCCATTCACATTCCTACTGTCATATTTCCATCTAAATATTTTATAAAATATCTTTGCTCTTTCTTCAGGCACCTTTGAATTAATTTTGCGTGTGTGTGAAGCATTCAGTATTTATGCATGACTGGAGGGGTTTGTTATAGATAATGGAAGCACCTCTACTTGCTTGTAACCATGACATGATTTTTAAAATATGTCTTTTGAAAAATCAGTTCTAACAGTAGTACACCCTGTGTACTTATAATGCTAAGAGAACTGTTATCTTTGAGATACAGTACAACCTTGGAAATGTCCTTCTCGGCTGCTCATTGAGTCAAAATATTTAATAGGGTCTGACTTCTGAAAACATTTAGAGTGTGTGTATTAAATATGCTATACTTTCTGCTTTGACCATTTTTTTCCTATAATATATATTTCAATATCTTATTGTAGAATAAAACTTGAGAATTTTTCATGTGTATAGACAGCTTTAAAATATTTTTATTAAATTAATAAATGTCATCATGATTTATATCAGTCTATTATATTTTTTCATATTTTTTCAAGTAGACTTGCCCGCCACAGTCAGAATACGTGTTTAGCTAAGTTATTGCCATTTTAACCCCACTCAAGCATTATTACACAAAACACATAGCAAGTTATTTTTGAAGATCGGATCAATGAAATGGATTTGAGGTGAAAGGTCTGCCTGCAACAAACTGAGTCTGAGGTTTATGGACTTCTATATTGACCTTGTGTGGTACAGTGAAAGGTCTGATGTATGAAATGACTGGTTCTGTTAAAAATCAGTGGTAAAATGCCCGTCGACCTGCCAATGAGGTCTTTGTTTCCCACAATGATTTTTCAATGTATTAATTGAACTGGAATTAGTTTAAAAACAAAACTCTGTTAAAAAAAATGGAAACAATTTATTAAAATGAGCTATTTAATAAAGGTATCTCTCTGTCTCTCTATTTTAAAATGTATTTCTTTGAAAATATTAGAAAATGCAGCAAATGGAGAAAAATGCCACCTTTCATTGTCTTTTCTAATGTTACTGTATTTTTGCATTTTTCCCCACAGGACAGCATTGTTTGATCATTATGAACTGGCAGAGTATTTGATTTCAATGGTAAATATTTAATCAAGCAGCATGTTTATAGAGATTATTGCTATCTATTACTACAGCCTGCATAGAGAAATTCAAAAAGGAGAATGTGTTCTGAGGTATAGGTTATTTAGACATATATAGGTACGTATTTCATAATTCAGAATTGAGTTACAGTACAGCAGTTGTTATGGCTCTATAATAGCATCCCACAGTTAGAGAGGATGAAAACTTGCATTTTTATTTCCATTTTACTTACTCAGAAAGGTTTCATAAACATCTTTTACCAGATATGACAAACTGGTTCAGTCATCCTCACTTTTAGGATATGAAATATGAAATAAATGCTAAACATGCATTGAATTTAATCTGATTTTTCCAGAAAGAAATCCTTCTTTGAAGTATGTACATATGATTGTTCTGGGAACACATAGCCATATATTGAAGTTTTTTGCAGTCTAGAAATATTTTTTACTCTGTGTAGTTTAGTTATATTTCTTCACTGAATAATTATGAGGGAGACAGAGAAGAAATGTAACCAGTGATGCTACTGGCTACGCTCCAAATGTCCTTTTATACCAATTAAACTAAGGCTCATATAGCCATTATATGCCCCAGTCTGATGAGGAAATTTTCAGAAGTCAGCAGACTTCCATTTTATGTATGTTTAGGTTTTTTACTTAATTTCATGACAATTATATTAAGAAGAATTATCTTCTACATTCAGTTTTGCTTTTCTCAGAAACTCTGTTAGAGGGATTTGATTTAGACAGAACTAGAGGTGCTTATTTTTAATTCAAATGTGAAATGGTGAGGTTTGGCTGCTTAAACTTGTCTGACAACACAACCTATCTACAGAAGTTATTACCTGATAAATACAAGCACAAGTTTTTTGCGTGTGGAGACTTGTGTGCACAAAGTATTAGGGGGAATATCTTTGACACTTCATTTGCTAAGAACAAACTTTTACTCCTTGAGTGTTATTTTGACTATTTGGTCTCCTTCATAGAATCTATGCTGAGAGTTTGTTTGGCTTTCCATATAAAGTATGTAAGTTTTGAAGTTTTAGGACTGTTTTCATTTGCCCTGTCTGGGAAAGGATCAAAATATGCCAGCTGGGGTTAGTGGGATGCAGCATGTGCCTGCTCCCTTGGACTCCTGGCAAGATCACTAAGTATCACCTGTGTTGTGGTGTACACAAGGGTGAAAAAGAAAAGGTGGAGCAACGTTACAGCTCAAAAGGAAAAGCAAAATACAGATCAGAATGGCTTTCTGGTTTTAATAAAAAACAATATTTATTTATTTTATACATTAACTATCCACATTACATGCACATTACCTTACAATGATTACTTCCTTTATCTCATTTTTAGTACTTTTTTTGTCTGAAAATAAAAGCTGTTGTATACAGATACAGTGTTATATCTAGCTCTTCTAGACAGAAAAGGTAAGATTAGCTATGGTAAACAGAATTGTCCAGGCACACAATGTATGCTATTTACATTTAAATTACACCCTTTTTTTTGTAAGTGTAGGTCAATGTGCTACACAAAAATCAGAGAATCACTCTACAGATATTTCTGTCAGCACTTATTGTTATTTTGCGTTTGGCTTCAACATAACATGGCAATGAGTATATGCTCTTGTTTTGGTGAGATGTACAGCTATGGTTTGCCATAACTGAAGGCTAACCGAAGCCTCAGCAAAAGGCAAAGACAGAAACCTAGATCACTTTTCCCAACTTCTAAACATTACAACACTTTATAGCTTTAAAGAAATGCTACTTACAAATTGGTTTGCAAATTAAGCATTTTAAGCACAATGACTTTAACAATAATGTTAAAGTGGCCATTGTCACATTTGACAGTTAGATGCACAGTGTCTGGTTTGTACATGCAGATGACGTGATTGTATTTACAAGTTATGTACACAACTATAAAGAAAAATAAAAACATGAAAATCAGAAAGTTCTCGGGATTTAGCTAGAATCTTAGCAATTTCCCTGTATCTTTCAGTGGTTTGGTTTTTTTTTTCTCATGTACTGGACAATTTATCATTGAGGTATCTGGTGCTTCCTGAGTTTACTTCATTAATTTTATTGAAATGTGCTTATTCAAAGTAAATAAGCAGTAATTTTACACATTTTCTTGCTTCTCTTTTTGAACTTCCTTTTTCCCCCTTTGCTTGTTTTCTCTTCACTAGAAGAAAAATGAAAGTTTAAAATGGGATAAATTGAGATTTACAAAATTTGCATATTTATTTTTATATTAATGTTTGTTTAATTCATATATATTAAGATTTAAATGCAAAATGGAGTTCAGAAACTAAATTTATAAACTTTTAATTCAGCTGTATTGTAAATGTGGTAAATATATGTGGCAATATATAAGCTACTCCTTATTGTGGTAAATAATGGTGAATGCAGCCGAATTAATTTTGCTGAAGGCTGAACAATGATGTTAGCTGGAGGGAAGATGATTAAAGACTGTGTTATTACTGGAAATTGCTACCCTGTATTCACTGAGATGAACGAGCCACTTGGATAAAAAAGGTCTGTTTCTTTGATGAATAAAAATATTTTTAAGAGGTTGCCTGACGTTGTAGAAAGGTAACTGGGGATAGGGTCCTGCATGTGTTACTCTCAAACATTTCATCAACACATATTGGAAGCTTCCTGTTCTCTGTGGTAAGGTAATCATCGTACATTTATTAAATGTTTCTTATTACTACATTACAGGTTTTACCATCCTAGAAAGTAAATATTGCTCATGATTATGAATAATTGTCTCTCAAATTAGGACTGGACCCAAAGATGATTCAAGTTAATGGAAAAACTCCCATTGATTTTTTTTTCAGTGACCTTTGGATATTATCTGAAATAAAATAGATTTTTTCGTGTACTTTGTTCAACTCATCGAATTTGACTTGCAACTCAATATCTAGAAAAATTATATCTAAAACATCATAAAATATACATACATCTCATTGGTTCATTTACTTGTATCTTCATACTCCCTTGTTGGTGGGATTTTTTAGATAGGTATGTTTATGCTCATAGTAGTTTGCTGATACGATCACAGTGATATTGTGACCATAGTGACCATATGTCCTGGCAAATTGCATCTTGTTCAAAAACAGACAAAACAGCAAAACTGGGCTTTTGCCAGAATATCTCATTTCAATGCTTGTGCTTCTCCTAAGGAGAAAGGTCATACCAAAAACCATGAGTCTGGAGAATAAAAATGTGTCCACTGTTGGTACAGCTACTTTGGAGTCAAAATTAACTTGGCTCATATAGCTTAGGATGAAGAACATAAAATGAAGGTAGATCAAGCTATACAGATCGACCTATAGTAATGTCTGGATGCATTACTTCTTGAACAGTATTCAAAAAGCACAGATGTTCAGAAGAGTCTTGTTTTGGTAATTGTTTGATAGGTAAGACCACATCATTCAAAAGGGCTGGAATTTCTGTATTTTTCCAGAGCTTCAATCCCAGTATTTTCAAGTTAGAATTATATATTTTGAGTATTTAAATTATCTGGAAAGGTACCCTAACAAAAGATCGTAAGTTGTGAGTTCAGTATACCTAGAAGTAGGCCACTAGTATTTAGGCATCTAAATTTATATATATATAGATGACTGGGCTGTGGCTGGTAGTTTGAAAACGGTAGTTTTATGTAGAGATGTAGTGTGTTTATTGAATCTACTTATCTGGAGGAATCTGGAGTTACTAAGAAAGCCTGTAATTCTGCTATGCTTATAAAGGGCAGCACCATTTTAAAATTACATTTATTCATTATTCATGATAAACTTGAAATTCTGTATTGCAGGGAGCTAATATTGATAGTGTTGACATAGAAGGTCGATCCCCGCTTCTGTTGGCCACTTCCTGCGCATCATGGAAAATTGTGAATTTGCTGCTCTCAAAAGGTAAAAAGGAACGTACGCATATGATATACTTCCTTTGAGCAGGGTTCATAGATGTTAAAACTCTGCATCTAACTTTCCTCTCCATTTCAGTTCAGTACTTCAGCATGCAGTCCAGGAGCAGCTGAGCTGAACAGCTGCACAGTGCTGGTATCCCCTGAGATAAAGGAAGAATTAGTGTGATGATTTCACCCTTTTTAATAGAGAGTGAACAGGCTGTAGAAAAATGTGTATGCCATGTGTCATGTTTCTCAAGGCAGAGGTGGTGCTGGCACTCCAGCCCTACATTCCTTAGCAGTTCACAGAGTAAGCAGAACTGTGTACACTTAGAGTCATGTGTCATACCAGCAATCAACCTTTAAATGTTAAAGCCCATATTTCAAGCATTACCTGTGATTTCATACAATTCTAGTGACCTGAAAATGTTTGAGCTATATCTCTCAATTGCTGCACTTTTGGTGCAAGCTAATTAGTGTTACTGTATTTCTTCATGTTCATAGTAATATAACTGATTTTGTTAATAAGCCTTGTAATAAGCTTTGAAGTTGTATCAAGATTACAACTTTAAAAAATTAGAAGAGGTGATCATCTGCATCTTTAAATTACCTCTTGATTTGTGGATGCTCCGTATCTCTGAATATAAGGGTTCCACATAAATCTTAGTGCTGCAGTGAAATACAAAATGCATACACACATGAGATAATGATGAAATCTGAGTGTCAGTAGGGGGGTTTTTTGTAAAATAATATTTGTTATTTTATAGAATTTATAGATTTATAAACACATTCGTTCAACATCTGTTCCTTTTTCTTAAACGTCATCAGTTAGTGCCGGGAGCCAGCAGTTTTGAAGTTGCTGGTATTTATTTCCATATTTATCTAGGAGCAAATGTATCATTAAAAGATCATCTTGGTCGGAATTTCTTGCATTTGACGGTCTTGCAGCCTGGAGGATTACAGCATCTGAATGAGAAATTTCTGCAGGTATAGTAAGAATCAGTTTATGTCTTTCTGTTACCCTTACTAGCAAATGTAAATTAAAAAGCAACTACCATTTTATTTTGGAATGTCTGTAAATGTTTATGGTGCTTGTTAAGTTGCCCAGTGTCACAGCAAAGAGTTTGAAGAGGTACATATCTCATGAAAACATTTCAAAGCCAATAATACAGTTTTCTTATTGCCAGGCAAAGGAATAACATAATCCCATAAATTATTTTGCTGTTGGGGGATTGAATAGCTCAAGAGGTAGGCAATAAAATATAGAACTTTTCACTTCTATTTTCCCAGCTTGCATGCAGTAAAGCTAGGGGACGTGCTCATATTCAGTCAAGCTCTAGGGCTTGCAGCATATTCTGCAGGAGCTTTCTGTGGCCTGGAATGTAATGAAGTCTTGAATTTAGGTTCAAAAACTATTTCGAACATGGATTTGTATTTGGCTATGCTGAGGTGAAGCACTCGTATTGCTAGACCCCAAGTTTGCTTGAGAGAGTTAAACTTGGTAGCCTCCAGAGCTCCAGAAACAACCTGTTAGATGTGAATCAGGTATAACTGATCTTATAACATCTGCTGAAATCTGTAAACAACTGATTAGTAACGCAGAATGGATTTAACCTCCCTTTTCAGCAGAATCAGTTTTAAGCCAGATAACTCTCAGTTTTCTGCATTGACTTTCTAATTACAGATCATAGTAATAATTCAGAGAGAGGAGTGGAGCAGTTTGGGGGAGGAGATTTTTAGTTGCTTTAAGAAAGGCTATACAGAGGATAGTGTTAGACAAAGTATGGAGGAAAAACAGGGAAATGAAGATGAGAAAGAGAAATGGGGGAAATAAAATTATACTGTAAACCAGTGAACTGACAGTTCTTGACAGCCAGAAGTTTTGCTACTGAATACAGATGATAGACTACCCTTACGTTCTGTACAAGCCTTCTGCTGACAGCAATGAGTATTGTGGTTGAGTGGCAGCAAAGAAGAATCTCCTGTGTTGTACTGTGGATGGATTGCAGTAAGGGTGGAGAGTGGCAAACTGCTGTGTTCTTCGAAGAGTAGTTGTTTGAAAAAATGGTGACCCACACATCAGCAGATATTAAATGTTCTTTGTTGCTAAATTTAGTTTTCCTAAAATTTGTTTCTCATTTCTGATACTGCTTTAAAACATTAATGCTATTGTTACAAGCTATTAGAAGCTGTGGAGCATTAATTATATAGAAGTAATTCTGCGCTTTGGGGATTTTTTTGGGGGGTAACAGATGGAACATATTAAAAATCTTGTAGTGGATGAAGATAATGAAGGATGCACTCCATTGCATTATGCATGCAGACAAGGTGTGGCCCTCTCTGTGAATAATTTGCTCAGCCTCAACGTTTCCATCTACTCTAAGAGCAGGGACAAGAAGTCACCATTACATTTTGCTGCCAGGTTAGTAGTGCAATCTAGGTTACGGAAACAATGCTATTTTTTCCATCTGTATTTTTTTGACATTTATTTCTATGTTTATCTTTCAAAGCTATGGACGCATCAATACATGTCAACGACTTATAAGAGATATGAAAGACACAAGACTTTTGAATGAAGGTGATAAGAAGGGAATGACTCCCCTTCATTTGGCAGCCCAGAATGGTCATGAAAAGGTAGTTCAGTTTCTTCTGAAGAGAGGGGCCCTTTTTCTCTGGTAAGTACACAGTTTTCCATTCATTAAGGCAAAAAAGAACTACCACCCTACATTTTATGTCCATTTGCTGGGATGTTAATACAATATAAACATAAATACAATATATGTAAATATTGAATATATTAATATATACAAATGTAACTATGCAATATAAGAGCATATTTATAAAAAAATTGTAATACTAAGCTGATTGTTCCTTGCTTCAGCCTGGCACATAGTGTCATGGCTAGCTGTAAAGCAACACTTCTAATTTTGGGAAATTGAGGTTTCTCTAAATCCAGCTGAGAGAAGAATATTGAAACTTTTGATGGAAAAAATATTGTTTTGGGAATATTATAATCATGTCAGCTTCACTTACAGGCTTGAGTAGGGGTTCTTAGGATTGGTGGTTCTCAAGCAACTTGCCTTGCACTCTTAAGTCCTGATTTCAGGTCAAAGATCCTCGGATCATTGGCAGCTCCACAAAAGCTTCCAGGCTCATGCCTCTAAAGCCAGGAGCCAAACCTACCAAGAGTTGAGAGTCCTGTTTCCAAGGTCTAGAGCTTTAACTTTCAAGTCCTGTGCCTCCAAGTCCACTGCAGCTACACCTTGCAGCTAGGGGTCTAAGCGTTCTGAGAAGATCCTTTAGCAATTAGACCTGTCATACATTCATTATTTGCAACTGCAGAGGACCCACTAAATGGACTTCTGTCAAACCCTTTATTTCCAGTGTCCTTAGCTGGACCAGTATACCTAGAAATGATAGACATGATAATATACACATATATGTATGTATATATACGTATGTATGTATATCTGCATGTACAAATGTATGTGTGTATGTATTTAGGCTTAATTTAGACTTAAATCTCATATTTTAAAGAAATGTCCTCGTAGGTTCTATGTGATAAAAGGCTTAATGAGTTTCATTATACTAAGATGAAATAATATGAATAGATCTGTGTGCTTATAATGTTTCATATGTTCACTATCTTTAAATGCAAAATTCTGTAATATGGCCATGATCTATGCCACATCTGTTGCCAAGTATCAGTAACAGAATATTGCAAGCACTTGTGTCATTTTCAAGGGACATATAAGAAAATGGACACAATCCAGATATATACAGAAATAGAGTGAGAGGGAAGAAAAAAGAGAGAGAGACACAAATACTATTACTGAGTTGAACCTTTTATGCACCAAAGATACATTGTTAATAACATAATAGTTGACAGAAGGCATGGACATCTCTGCAGTAGTCATGCCAAAGAAAAGAGGTTTGAGTCAAAGGAGGAGATATTTACATTTACTTTAAATTTATAAAAGTTTTCCATTTATGATTACTAATTTTATACTGCTACATGTAAGTGATTATAAAGGCTGGACAGCCCTGCACCATGCTGCCTTCGGAGGATACACTCGCACAATGCAGATCATTTTGGATACTAATGTGAAGTGTACTGACAGAGTGGATGAAGAAGGGGTAGGTGTTCATGTAGCATTATTTGTTTCTTGTCTGCTATTACTTCTAGACCAGATGTCAGTGGTATGCTATTAGTAGTTTTCCACTGTTCATTACATGTGTAATATTTCATTTCCTGTGGCAGATTTAAAGTCTTTATATTTCACAACTGTTAAAGTTTATTGCTTAGATTAATATAAGATTGCTGAAATTATTATCCAATTCTTATAAGTGGGAGACAAAAAAAATGCAAATAGCCTAATAGAAAACATTAAATACTGAGTATGTTAGACATGTCCCTCTTGCCCCCTTTACAATGCAAGAGTATTTTAACAATGTAGTACAAACATTGGTAATTTAAATTTAAAAAGCTGATACTGATATAAAAAAATCCAATATCAACTATAGCTCATTAACATATTGTTTGAAATTCATCTGTTCTGCGCAGTGAAGTCCAACAGCTACAGCTCCTATCTTGCTGTTTGGACAAATGCCGTATCTGTTGGGTCAATGTGCGCTGGCAGCCCAGAAGGCCAACCGTACTCTGGGCTGCCTCAGGAGAAGCGTGGCCAGCAGATCAAGGGAGGTGATTCTGCCCCTCTACTCTGCTCTGGTGAGGCCTCACCTGGAGTACTGCGTCCAGCTCTGGAGCCCTCAGCACAAGAAGGACATGGAACTGTTGGAGCGGGTCGAGAGGAGGGCTATGAAAATGATCCGAGGGCTGGAGCACCTCTCCTATGAGGACAGGCTGAGGGAGTTGGACTTGTTCAGCCTGGAGAAGAGAAGGCTGCGGGGAGACCTGATTGGGGCCTTTCAATACCTAAAGGGGGCCTATAGGAGAGATGGGGAAAATCTTTTTAGTAGGGCCAGCTGTGACAGGACAAGGGGTAATGGCTTTAAACTGAAACAGGGTAGGTTTAGACTAGATATAAGGAAGAAATTCTTGACAATGAGGGTGGTGAAACGCTGGAAGAGGTTTCCCAGAGTGGTAGCAGAGGCCCCATCCCTGGAAACATTCAAGGCCAGGTTGGATGGGACTCTGAGCAACCTGATCTAGTTAGCAGTGTCCCTGCTCACTGCAGGGGGTTTGAACTAGATGACCTCTAGGGGTTCCTTTCAATCCAAAACATTCTATGATTCTATGATTCAAGACAGAATCCATTTCCTGGACTGGAGATCTCTTGTATGAACCTGCCTAACAGTTCCCCATCAGAAAACATAGGGAGGTCATTTTAAAGAGCTATTCAGTTTACAACCCAGAAGGTGTTGCTGATTTATCTGAGAACTGGTGTTGAAAACATTAAGAATTATTAGATTAGGAACATATCTTGCCTAGAAATTAACGAGAAGCCAATGCTTAGTTCTTCATTCCCTCATAAAAATCTGGTTGCATTGGGAGGGCTTTCAAAAGTCAGTTTCAGCGTGACTTGATTCCTAAACCACTCATTGCCTTACTTCTATGAAAATACCAAAGAAAAAAGTGTTCCCTTTATAAAAGTGTGCTGGCAGATTTTCTTGCCAATTTGTTTGTACAAGCACATCTGGATATAATTGGATGCTTCTTTTCCTGATTATCAAATGCAGGTGTTCTCTATCTGTAGATACCATAATTTTTACCTATTTGTGACTTGCAGTTTGTTAGTTACAAAACTAGAAGATATTCATGAAATAGCCTTTCCTACCTACAGCTGAGTTTCCTCTGCAGATTTAGCACTACTGTAGCCGTAGACATAGAATAAAGAACTCATCTATAATCTCTACCAGAATCTCTGTGACAATATCCTGCTTTTTAATATTGCTAGTAAAAGTATTCAGGACTTGCAACTGAGAATAGCAAGTGGCTTTTCAGTGTGGGAAAGAACTGAAATATGTACTTTTTTAAAAAAAATTATTCTCATGGATCCATTGCTGTACTACTTTTCTGCACAGAACACAGCCTTGCACCTGGCTGCAAGAGAAGGACACGCGAAAGCAGTAAGGCTACTTCTTGACTATGGTGCGAAAATTCTGTTCAACAAAGCTGTAGCTTCGTTTTTCCATGAAGCAATACACAACAGGAGAAAAGATGTAGTGTCTGCTGTCATTCTGCACAAAAGGTAAGGTGCACAGGAAATGCTTTTTGAATTTATTTTCTGTTGTGTTTTGGTTTTGAGATTAAGTTTTGAAAACCTGCAGTTTAATAAGTAAGACTGAGTACCTATTTTAAAATTCCAGACATTATGTTGTATTCTAGTGAGAGCAAATAAAAAATAGCATAATTGTTATGAACATCGGACATGTGGCATGTTGTTTTCTATACTAGATTGAGTATTCAAATTCTGTTAAAAATCCAACACATAGAAGCCATTAGAAATAAGTAATCCTTCCCATGTCTTCCCTGTTCTTACATACATAATTTTGGCCTCAATACCTACAGAATTTTAATGAAATGTGAGTACGACTGATACCATTCAAGAGATTTAATTTAAAATTGTTGTTTTAAATGTTGCAAATATTTAAAAATGGGGCAGTTCAACTGTAGTTTAGCATTTTTTATATTACAATAGTGAAGCCCCACTTCAGGAATAAAAGTGTTGTACCATTGCCTAATGATCACATGTCTTGGTAACAGTTGCAGGAACACTGCCAGTATTTTACTGTGTGTATTATTACTCACCTAATCTTGTAACCCAAGATTCCAGCTTTAGTTCAGGTTTCATATTTTTAGAAGGTCTTAGCATAGTTGAAACATTTCTCTTTAATTGATAACAGAATTAAACATGAATCATTCTTAGAGAAGCGTCCAGAATGTTACTCAATTACTGCTCAAATAGCTGGTTTTCCAGCTGATGGCATGTAAACGTTACATATTGTCATTTGCAAGATAATATCTTAATAAAAGTCAAATAATCTAAAAGTAGTTAATTTAAAAGAGAAGCAACTAATTAATTTTCCATTCTCTCAACTAATTTTTGCAGATGGGAAGAAGCTGTTGTGACATTCTCTCACTATTCCAGTGCCAATAAGTGTCCTTTGCTGGAGATGGTTGAGTATCTTCCTGATTCATTTAAAGTAAGTTTTCTGCACATATTAAAGACATGACTGCACAAAAAACCACTTAGTTACCTTGCATCATTTGCCATTTTTTTTCTGAATCATATGTATTATTATAAAATAGAAACAATATAAATTCACAAATTTATTTAATTTTATTTTAGTAATAGTTTCAGTTTGGCCAGTTTAATTTCTTTAGTATTAGAAAAAGTTCTTAGCTTCCTGAGGTCAATGGAGTTACAAGAGTATAAAAGTAGTATAAAAAGGAGTAAAAAAGTGATGAAGGTCAGAAGAGAATTGGCTTCAAAACCATCTGAGTTATTTTCACCTTCTGAGCTAACTGTTAAATGATGCTGCAGAAATGCTTTTTATTAAAATAGCAAGTGACTTGGTATATGTACATTCATAAACACTTCACATTTTAGACTTGTAAACTAGCATGTAGGCTTATAAACTGCATAGTTTCATATTTAACTCCTACATGTAAACTTTGGAGTTTTATGTCTTCAAAACATACACCATAAAATCTGGCTGAAGCAACACTTCCATTAGATGACTGCTGTATTTGAAGGTCATTTTTGTCAGGTACAAACATTATATTTTTTCTGATGAACGTTATGTATATCACCTTAATTCACTTTTCTGTTCATCTGCAAAGCTGGTATTGGACAACTGCATAATTGAGTCTTCAGAAGAAAAGACAAGCCGAGACTTCTATGTAAGTGGATGAAAAAATTTATGAAGACAGTACATTTTACAGTCTTAGGATGGAATATGTCACAGTGCACCTGGCTATATGTTAGCAACAGCACCTTATTTGGATAATAATTAATTTAGAAAATCATCAGCTTGGCTTTTAGCTACTAATACTGGACTAAATGCTAATACCTCTTAAATATTTTCTATAATTGCAATTATAGTTTGATAGTTGGTAAATTGAAACCAGCCAATACTTTAACTTGATTTATGAATAATTCAGTAGTTATTCACCAATACCTGTATTTGAATCTGTGCTTTTAATGTATAATTGGCAAAAAACTCCTCAGTATGAAGATGACTTAAAAATCACTTCATCAGATACTAGCAATCTTCAACAATTAGTCTCTTTTTGTTCTCAACAAAGCCACTGATTTAATTCTTTTCATTGTCTTTGTGACACTGAAATGAACACATTTTTGGCTTGAAATTTTGGGAAGTACACAATATGTATACTTTAATGTATATGTCAAGTTCATATGGATAAGATATTCTTGTGGATGAATATTAGATCTTAACAGAAAACACAAGTGACTGATCTTATTTTATCCTTTCGGCTGTAAACATCTTTGAAGTTCAGTTCTGTAATATTCATGCTTATGCATTTTAACAAGTTTAATGTTAAACTTGAGCAATCTATAGACTTTATCTTTGCTGTGTTAATTCTTGCAATCAAGCTGGGTATTGGAGGTTATGGATGTTTCAAAATAATAGAAGACATAATAACTATTTATGAATATCAAAAGCCTGCCTATCATAAGTATGTTGTACATACAAGTAGTACAATTGTCATCAATAATTCAAAGCCCAACATGTTTCTTTTTTTGTAAATTCTTGTCCAAATTCTTAAGCAGTAGATTGCTTTCATAGTGCTAGGGAGGCGTGAATGTTCTACAGTTATGTTACCTTTGAAACCATATTAAAAACCACCTTATCAATTATTATATTGGATTATGTCTACAGCATTGTCAGAATACTTGCAAATTTTCTGCTACTGTATGTTTTCTTTACGTTGTGTTATCAAGGCCAGATAACTTTTAAATACAAGCTTTTCTGCAAAGTCAACATTAAAACAAATTACAGTTATGAGAATGACCTTTTTAAACAGTAATATTTTAAGAAACAGTGTGTACTTTCTATTTTACAATTCAAAATTGCTGTTTGTTTAATCATCTCACAGTCACAGATGTGTATCCCGTAACTAACACGCATCATACATCAATGTTCTAATTACTTTAACGATATGCCTTTTTTTTTTTTCTCTAAAGGATAACCTTTTCAAATTAAGCATATTATCTCAGTTTTAGATTATCAGTTTAATCACATTTAAACTCTGGTGTATGTTTATTATTCAGATTGAATATAACTTCAGATATCTTCAGTGTCCCCTGACACTTAACAAGAAACTAAAGGATGGTGAAGACATTTTCTATGAACCACTTACCACTTTAAATGTAAGTTCTTTATTTTACTCTGATGTCATTCCATGCGGTCTTGCTTTAAGTAGAATCAAGAGGTTTGAATTTTTCATCATAATATTTCTTCTCCAAAGCTCATAACTCTGTATATTTAAAGCATATTGGAATGAAGTATGGGTCAAAGTTCTTATAGTCTAAATAATAAATAACATTTCTTTTAGGTTTAGATAAAAATTCTCAGTTTATTTAAACAACTATGAAGGTTTCAGGAGAACATGCTGTACATGCAGGTAATACATCGAAGACGACCATACTCCAGTCATTGTAGTGACCATGTACTGGAACGTAAGGCATAGAAAAAACTGACAAAACTGTTTTTTCATATGCTGTCGTGGTTTAACCCGGCTGGCAACTCAGCACCACGCAGCCGCTCGCTCACTCCCCCCTCCCTCAGTGGGATGGGGGAGAGAATCGGAAAGAAAATAAAAGGTTAGAGCCGAGGGCTGAGATAAAGACAGTTTAATAAGAGAAAATAATAATAATAGTAATAATGAGAATGATAACAGAATATACAGAATATACAAAACGAATGATGCACAATGCAATTGCTCACCACCCGCCGACTGATGCCCAGCCCGTCCCG